CTGTGGGCACCCTGCAGCTGATTACTTCCCTAGGGATGAGACAAACAGTTGGATTCAGTTTGCTGGAGGTGCGCTGAACTCCTCTGATTTTTGAATGTTAACCAGAACCCTATTGAAGTCTATTGTACCCAGGGGCATCCCCAGGCGATGTGTCACTTGAAGCAGCCGCCAGATGACACCCCGCTGGGAAGTCATCCTGCATGTGCGCAATGTCATAATAGACGCGCAACATCATCACGCACGTGCGTAATGGCGTGACATGCTTGCCTGCTGGTGGCCATCTTGGTGATGGATGCTGGCAAAGAGAGGAGGGGGTACGCCACCGGGTCCCCTTCTCTCTTGTGCAACTGTCGATCTCTCAGTTCATGAGGAGCAGCTCTTTTAATAATGCTTAAAGGGTAACAGTAAAGAGCTATTAGGAATTTGGAGACCCCCATTAAAATAAGGGGGCCCTCAGATATTGGGACCCCCTCTTCATGAATGAGTAAAGGGCTTGCATTCTCAAAAAAAAAAAGTTTGAACAGAAATAAGCACACTACATGTTTAAAAAATCCGTCCTCAGTCATGTTGTCCAGCGATGCAGATCCAATTACACATCAATTACATTAAATGACACATGTCAACCTATCAAAGAAAACAGCAACTGCCCTTGCCAGTCTGATCGTGACAGACTCCACATTACAGCTGCCAGTTGATTGTAAACACTGGGACTGGAAGCTGTCTGACATCATTACCAAACATGATAATGACCATATTTGGTCAATGATGTCAGGTATCTACCAGTCCCTTTGCTTACATTTTGCCAGGAGCTGTCTGATGCCACTGTTTAAATATGGCCGTTACCATACTCGGTCAATTACATCTCCTGGGATGCCTGCCAACTTGTTTACAAGCCAGCACGCAGCAAGATATTTGTTGCTAAGATGCTGGAAGATGCCGGCATCATAACTACCAATGGCACTGTGCAGCCTTAACATCAGAAAATATTAATGATTGACAGTAGTAATATTACCAATAAATAAATGATAAATAGTTCAGCCAATTTGTGAACTCTGAATGAGGAAATGCGGGTCAAACCCTACATTAGGCCAAACTCAAACCTCATCCCATCATCCCATTACTGACTTATCATGCCTTATTCTGCACTGGATCTCTTTGTGGAGGTGGCCATCTTGGTAGAGGAGAAGGCTTTGCTCCCTCATGTCAGAGCTGCCCCCCCCCCAATGTCTTCTGCTCTGATGACTGATGGGATATTTTTTTTAAAAGCAGCTGGAGAGGCTCAGACAGCAAAGATTCACAAAATAGATGGAGAAGCCCGTAGTCACCTTAGTCACCTATAAAATTGTAAATCTTCACTTTTTGAGTACAGTTAGTTTTTTGCCATTACAGAGGTTTCCTAGCGTATGCCCAATAATTTGGAATGGATTTGAAGGGTCATTAATGTAATTAATGACACAATTGTGTGCTTTAGAATGTTGTAAACAAAGTCAACTGGAGCAAGTTTTACAGCTGATATTTCTCAGAGTATACATGTATCTGTAACTGTACAATTAAATTAGACTTTAACTCTGTAACAATGCATGGTAAATCTTTCAGTATAACATGACGATCTGCTTTGGATTGCAACATGCAGC